CTCGAACTGGCGGAGACGCAAGTCCGGGAGGTATGGCGGCCGATCCGATTTTGGGAGATTCGGATACCTGCCCGCACATAAATTGCGATCCTTGATTTGAAAATTATTTACGGTGACATTTTGAGGAGGAAAGAAGAGATGATTGAATGATTGAAGAGATGAATTAATGAAGAGACGAAGGAGGAAATCGAATTATTGGTGAGTTTTGGTAAATAAAAAAGGGAAAAAGATTTTCTTCTACGAAAATATTTGGCTCCTAGGAAATGAATTTGGAAAAAATTAATCTAAACATTCGTTATATACTTTTGATCTTTAAAAAATGCAGATTACAGAAAATTTTGAAAAGAGTAATTCAAATTTTTCACATTGAAATTAGACTTTTTTAAAAGAATATTATTATTATTACTTGGTATTAGTTTTATGATGTTAACTGCACGATAAATAGGATTTTCTCGAATTTATTATTTTTATCTGTTCTGAAATATCACGTATTTGCTTACTCGTTTCATAATTTGTGTATTTCTTAGAAATATTAATTAATTCTGTGAAATGGATACTTACAATTTAATGTAGATAATAGAAATAATAGAAATAATAGAAATTCTATCAATGAATACTTACAATTTAATGTAGATAATAGAAATAATAAAATTTTTACTATTGTTTAATATTGCTATTTCTACTTATACATTAAATTACTAAGTAAGTAAGTATTAAATAAATTTACTATTTATTTAAAAAATAGAATGATATCTATTATATATATATTATAATAAAGAATAAAATTACAAATGAAAGCAATATTAACCCTTAAAGAATTAAATTTCATTCTTTTATTGATTCTGTGTGGTAATTTACAATTTAAGAAAAAATATTAGAATATTGGATCTTTCTTTCAATTAACTATCCCAAATTTCAAAATAAATAATCATCCTACTTCAGCAGCGTAAATTAATATAATTCCAATTAAAAAACGACACATTTTTATTCTTCAGTTTCATCATAATTAATTGTTTCATAGCATTCGAATGGATATCATTAGAAAGAATCTATATTTTATCGAAGGATTCAATCAGCTTGGTGAAATTACATTCCGCTTTTCTAGTCAATTAACGCGATCCACTCGCATCTAATGCGTGCAGTTAACTGTAAATTCTACGTTCTTACCCAGAAGGCATTTAATCGCTCGGTTGAGTTCACCCTCTAATCCTATTAGCCCTGCTTCACACTATGCAGGGT